TCAATGTTTGGACTACTGTTTATCCCTTAGTTCCCTTGAGACCTCTGACAGACTTCCCGGATCTCTTTCCTCCAAACAATCCTTGTTTAGTCCCCAGGTCATGGTATGGTCATGATTGAATGAGGGTAATGAGTGTTAGATATTAACCTGGTTAATCTAGATGGTAATAGGGGGGACTAGTGCTAGGGTGTCATGCCTTTCTGGCGCCTACACAAGGTGAAGATGGACATTGGACACGCAGACCCTCACGCTAAATTGTTTTCTATGAATGGGCTGGATCAATGAATTGGAAGGCTTCATAAGGGACGCTGGGCCCGGTTCCCAGCATGTGCTGATGTATCAACTTATCATTGTATCTCAAGGGACGCTGGACCCACTTTCCAGCAGGTGTTGCTCCCCACCAATAGACTGGAGCCCCCAGCAAGATAGATAGGAGTGCATGTTTTTTTTTTTTTTTAAGTCCAGGGTGTTGTAGAGGTCAGTCAATGAGTGCACAGTGATCACCTGGAACTGCGAGCCGTGGGTGTCCTTATGAGACCCCATCCCAATCCATCCTCTCGGCATACTCCTAGCGCACCCCCTATCCCACTATCCTACCTCAGTGTGACCAGCACTCAGGACCGTTGCCCTGCCCACGAGCAGGCAACTTGGACCGAACAGCAGTGATAGGCACCAGGGCTGATAGCCACCAGACAGTTCTATCCGAATGTCAGTAGGAACTGCACCCAATGGCACCCTATCCAACCTACCTGAACCTACTGCAGGCACTAGACCCTNCACCCTATCCAACCTACCTGAACCTACTGCAGGCACTAGACCCTACCACAGGCTACCAGTGACAGCCCTGGTGGAAGCGGAATTGGACGAACCTTGTCGAACGAGGACTTCGGATGCCAGGCCCGGACAATGAACTACAGGCCCCCATATATAGCCACCAGACAGTTCTATCCTAATGTCAGTAGGAACTGCACCCAATGGCACCCTATCCAACCTACCTGAACCTACTGCAGGCACTAGACCCCACCAGTGACTAGCTTCCCAGTCTGTTTTTTTTTATGTGTATATTCTGTGAATCTGTGTAGACAGTATTGGGTGTGGAATATGTGTATATATGGTTGTATGCTGCTCCTCACCATGGAGCATCTGCGAAGTGAATAGTAAGTACTGATGAGAGGTGCTCGTACCACCTCCACTAGTACGTGTATATGTGTGTACTCTGTGAATCGTGTGTGTATATCAAGGAGAGAACGGGGCAAGCTGGACAAGGACCCCCCGCAAGGACCGAGCCAAGCTCGAACCCGTGACCTTGTAACGTGTAATCGAAGACTCTACCGTATATGGATCGAACGTGTGATATGCCAGACTGGGAAGAAGATCAGAACGTCCAAGACCAACACCCCAAGCAAACCATGTAAACCCACAACCAACATACAACACCGTGGACTACCCCTTGGGTGGTGCGCAGGCAGTGTCTGTAATAGTACCATGCGTCAGCCCAAGGGGATGTGTGTCCAGCCGTGCGTCAATCTAACGCCCTGCCGGTGTCCATGCGCACGGCTGCGGGGTTTTGAACCCACAACCTTATACCACAATGCGCATTTCCAACCGGTGCTCTAACCACTGAGCTACATCAACTGGACAGATAGGAGTGCATGCTTGTATCATCACTCCTATCTGTTGTTGCAAGTGTTAAAAAAAAAAAAAAAAAAAGGGGGTGATAAGAGAAGCCTCCCTTAGTGCTCCTCTGCATGGAAGGCCCCATCTATTAGTGGGGAGCAGCACTTGGTGGAAACCGGGTCCAGTGTCCCAAGTTAATACATGCATGCACTTGCTGCTGGAAATTGGGTCCAGCTTCCCCCAATTGATACAGTGACAACAGACAGAGTCGAGGAGGAGGATGCCGGGGGAAGGCCAGCAGAAGGAAATACGGGAACTGCTGCCCTATTTTTGTCCATTATCTCTCATCTCGGTCCTGGCTTCCGTCTATTGCCCTCTTTGCGTTGCTTTATGGGCGTCATCATGTTGTTGTCAGGCTGGCTCCTGTTGAGTCCATCTTGGAGGTCCGGAGCAGCGCTGAAAAAGAGAAGAATGGTAGCCAGATTCCATATTCTATGGGGGGTTTTTTTTTTTTCCAAATATTCTATGGTTTTCAAAACATCGGCAAACCCAAGTCTACTCAGAAACAAAGATAGACACTCCCTTTTCTGCAGGAAACAGTGAGAAGTGAAAACGGCGAAGAAAAGAAAGATGGAGGTGAGGAGAAAGGTAAAACACAGTACTGGCTACAAGCACCTGTCAATATCAAAACTCCCTATTTTCTCCCCCTTAGACCCTTTGAAATATAACCAAACCACCCCACCACTCATCTGAACCCTCCTTACATCTGAAGGGCCTGAAGCATGGCCTAGGTCACCCCTTCCTTCTCCTTCCTTCTCCTTACTTCCCCAACTC